CTTCATCCAAGTAATCCCAGAGGCTCGGTGGTGTTAAATAACACATTGTGAGAGCATGGGGGTGGAGGACAATGGCAGTGGGTTTGGGGAAGCACTGATGAATGACAGTCGCTTTATCCTTTGAAGAGGATGTTATACTGAACATCAAATAGACATTTATGAAAATGCTCTAGTGTCAAATAAATCCATAAATTAATTAGTATAGAACAATGCCTTAATCAGGAAAAACACCCATGCCCCTAGTGTTTTGTCCTTTTAACATTGACACTTAATTAAATCAGTTTTTGTTTATATTCAGATGACCAACGTCACCTCTACAATTCATTCCCGCTTAAATTTACCACACAAAAAGGAACAGTCATTTTTCAAAGTACACAAATACTGGTTGCCATGGAAACAAGTTGGTGCCTTGCTGCTCCTGATTCTGTTTTCAGAGCAGAATCTTAACCACAGGACATTCCAGCTGTGACTCATTGAGACTACTGGCAAGCATGCTAGCCTGGATCTGGTAAAAGTATGATTTCTGCAGCTTTTAGTGAGCCTAAAGATCTACTCAATATAGTATAAAAGAAATCAGTAGAAACTAATAGGGGAAGGATTGAGATTCTCACTCCTTGAACAAGCAGATCTAATTTGTATAACTGTGCTTAGAGGTTTTTTCTTTTTTTTTTAATACCTAGGACAAAGCTTACACTTTTAAGCTAGCCATTCACTCTATCTTCAAATGTAGATATTTGTATATTGCAAACCCTCCCATGAAGAATCTTTTCATTTATTCTCTTAATGAGACTATTCATTTAGAATCTGTGTGGTTTAGCTCTCCCAACACCCAATCTGCACTGAAATATCTCAACCACTCCTGAGACACGCAAAGAGGAAGGAAATCTCTTGCCTAAGCCACATTTACCAATTTCTGTCTACTTCCTTTGCATGGGTTTGATCACTTGGCACAAATGTAGTATGTTAGATCATTAGTGACTTCAGGCTCCAGCTGCCACATGAAATGATCAGTGAAGTTCGAAATGCTAAGGACCCAAACCACATCAGAGACAGAAAACTGAAGATTTATTAAGCATGGTCAGTCGCTGATGCAGCTAGTCCAAGTCTCATAAGTTTAAATGTTTTGCAGGTACATTAGGAATCACTGGAAGCCAAGTTTTAAGTGAACAGAGACCCAAATCCGGCTAAACTGTACCTTAGCTGTTCTTTAGAAAGGAGTCAACTCTATAAACTGCAAAAACTTTTAATAGTGGCCAGCGTTGTGGCATAGCAGGTTAAGCCGTCACCTGCAATGCCCGGCATCCCATATGGGAGCCTATTCGAGTCCTGGCTGCTCCACTTCCCAACCAACTCTCTGCTAATGTGCCTGGGAAAGCAGCAGAAGATGGCCCAAATACTTGGGCCCCTGTACCCATGTGGTAGACCCGGATGAAGCGCCTGGTCCAGTCCCCCATGCTGCTGTGACCACTTTGGGAGAGAATCAGTGAATGGAAGTTCTCTTTCTGTGTATCTTCCACTTTCCCTGTAATTCTGCCTTTTAAATAAATCTTAACAAAAAATACTTTAATAGAAATGACCTTTGAAAGGGTCTCCTTGTTGCTTACTTGCTTTATGATTTTAAAAATGTGTAGGTATAATGAATAAAAATTATAATTATCTCCTATATAGAAGCAAGGGATGTATAGATTGGCTATTTTTCTAAACCAATTTCAAACTCATACTGAGTGACTCTCAGTCCTTTTTATTTAAGATTGTCATTGAACTCATACTTTTTCTAAGTACTCTTTTCCTTATTGAAGTTTTTCTGGAATAAAATTACTTTTTTTAAATGAAGAATTAACTTGAAGAATTAATTAAATGTAGTACATACTGAGAAAGTGAATCAGGATTTTCTTTTGGATGAATCATTAAAATAGGAGTAACTTCTGGGGAAAAAAATTCTGTTCATTTCCTGTTACAAATCTTTGAAATTTTACAAGAAAACTTCATCCTTTAGAGTTTAATATGTCACTGAAATAATTCATCTGCTGTCAGGGGAGAATTTTAGTGTAGTAGAGAATCCCCTACCCTTTGTAGAGGAAAAAAAAATCTGCCGTTTATAAAGAATGTGCCAAATTTAGGAGAATGATTCCGATTGAGTTCACAGAGAGGATTTTTGAAGTCAGTGTCTTTAGTAGAAAATTATATTTCAACAAGAAGCAGAAAAGTCATTTTATTATAGAAACATACTAAGGAAAGTCAATGTGGTCAGAGGCAGGCTCTGGATTCACAGTCCAGCTCTAATATTTGATTGGAACATAATCATATAAAAATTACTTAACTCCTCTGAACTAAATTTCATATATAACTCTGACATTGTAGCAGCACTTATTTCATAAAGTTGTTGTAAATAACAAATCAGACAAACGACATAATCAGTCTAGTATGAAGCTTGGCATGTAAAAAGTACTCAGAGTGTTAGTCTAACTCCTGGGCAGAGGCAAAGAAAACCAACATCTTTTCCAAATAAACCACCCCCAAAATAGCTTTGAGAAAAGAAATATGATGGCCAGAAAGGACAGGAGCTGACTCACATAAAACATTTCACAGAAACCATCACAGGCGGGGCAGTTGTGGAAGCAATGAATCAAAGGAGAAGATGGAGGGCCATTGCTTGCAATGTGTTGCTATGGCAACCGGGTTATGTGTGAAGGCTGAGGTCGCAGAACCCAATGGCTATCATTGCATGTGAGGTGAAGCATGGTGTGTGTGTTGGGGGTAGAGCAAGGATGGCAGCGGATGGGAGCGAAAAGAGAGTTCGGAAACGAGAGACTGTAGGGGCAGCTGTGGAAATGAATAAGTCAAGTCAATTGGCAAGAGAAGTGGCTTTACAGGATAAAGTGAAAAGTGTTGTTCCAACTGCAGCCTCCTCTTCCCTTTCTGTCCTGTCCTGCCCTGTGGCTCTAGCTAGTTGGCCTGGGGGGGAGGGCAGGAGAATTCTAGATGTGCCTGCTCAGATCTTCCCCACTGCAGAAACAACACTAGCAAGATCTATGGAGCTACCTCAGCAGAGCAATTATTAAGAAAGTTGTGCTGAACTTCACATCACATATGTGCTGGATAAACTTGCAACTTTTGCAGCTTACTTTAAATGTTAAGAACTTTGAAATGCTCCTGTAACAACCGCAGGAACTGACAATGAGTAGGGTGCAGGGCTCCACTTGTGAATGAGAATAGCACAGGGAGGTAAATATGCAATCAAATTGTGGGGGATAACAGGCAAATGTTGATGGCAAGGCTGATAATCTGCTAGACCCAAGACAGCGCCACGATAACCCTCAGGAGGTTAAGTCCCCCCTGCCCCCCCATTAAACACATGCCACTCACAGTGCACGCCACACGTAGGCACACACACATCTCAGAGACAAGAAAAGCCAGACTGCAATGGGCTGACAGGGTGAGGCAGGAAATACGAAATGCCCATGTAAAATGAACAATTACTCATAATGCTGGGCTTTGCATGAGAGCAAGAAACCCAAGGAAAGACCACATTCTGAGTTATTTGGTGTCACTGAATTAGAGGTCTGTCTCAAACACTGACCACAGAGTCCCCCTTCTACGTAGTAGTTAGTAGCTGGGCTCTCTTGCTAACGCATTTGCATTTTCTGTCTACTTTCTCTATGTTATTCATATTAGAAGCCTCCAAGGCTGATCTGGGTCTCTTCGTTTTTCAAATCATTATATAATTACAGAAGTGGGCAAACATTTAACCCTAAAGATGTTTCTCTCAGAATTGTTTATCATAGTGAAAATCTGAAAGATCTTAAGTATTCCACAATAGGAACTAGCAGCTGATTTGTGATGAGTGATATTTATGTGATATAATAAAGAACACAGGGAAACATTCCAAAGCTATCACTGGGTAGAAAAAAGTCATTACAGGGCAGTATGTCAAAATAATCTCCTTTAAATATTAAAGTAAAATAAACGTACAAAGAGAGATTATGGGAAACAAATACCACTGAATATTATTAGTAGTGTATAATTGAAGTTCCTTTTATTTCATTGATGCTTTTCTATACTTTCTCAATATCCTGCAATAATTACATATTCCTGTGTGGTCAGTTAAACCTATTTTTAAACTACTAATTTTGGGGACCTATGATGTAGCAATGTAGACATGCATTCGTAATATTTTTCCAATTCCAGATTTTCATACTTTCCTAGGTTTTCAGATACCCAACAGGCCTGCTAAAACATTATCTATTTCCATCATTGTTTTTATGTAGGTCAAGATTATACCTGAAAATTAGTTTACTACAATATTATTATATGAGGTAATCTGCTCCAGCATTAATTTAAGACCATAATTTGTATTTAATGTTTCTTTTTATGGTAACTAGGTTTTTATTATTAATTAGACTAATTCTTTATTAAAAAGTCATTTCTTCAGATGTTGAGGGACTAAAGATTTCATATAAACATAAGTTTTGATAGTCACTGATGGAACAATAAATGCCTAATGTCCTCCATGGTGGCAAGGGAAATGCTTTGAAAGCCAAGCAAACTTTCCCGTGTATGTGTGAGCACTAATTCCATCAACTGCAGGCTCCCCTCTGCCAACCGTCCTGTTACAGTGAAATACTAATCATTTGTTGTTATTATAATTCTATCCCTTGAAAGCCTCACCATCTGCTACAGATGGACCCAGAAACAGAGAAGAATCTGGCTCATAGAACAAAATGAAAAAATAGAACCTTGAGCTAGAAGAACCTACACACTGGCATCCAGGCTCTTCCCCAAGTCAGTGAGAGCAGGAAGAGAAAGCCTGTTATGTAAATGGTCAATGTAAGACTAGACAATGCAGAGATGTCATGTTTTTTTAAATGAAATGTTGCAATTAGAAATCTTTCTCCTTAAAACAAAAAGTGGAAGAATCAATAGATTTAGCCAAATGCCACAACTCTGATGACCAGTTTGTAAAAGTTAGCATCGTGATCAATGCTTTCTTATCCCCTCAGTGTCCCTGTTAGATGGTCCCTATGGTGGAAGAGACCATATGTGCAAATGCTGCCTTTGTCCTGATGAACAAAGCAAGGCGAGGACAACCAGGAAAGGAGGCTCAGAGAACAACTTCAAGCTCCGAGCATCCAACAGAGTTTCTACTGGCTGAAGGGTAGTTTGGATACGATCACAGGTTTGATACTTAGTCATTCTGAATCTGTCCTTCATGTTCGTGAGACACACAGACTTTCTTTTGAATCCAAGAAAAAAAGCTTTCTTTTGAAGGCTATTGCCTTTGCCTCATTTACGGCCACAAATTAATACAATCCCATGACCATTCCCCAATGTGAGGGATGGTCAGAAAAGATCAGTATCTCTTTTTAAATGAAGAGAGTTTTGATCAATCTGAGATAAACAGTCCTTTCAATTTTTTATAATTTAAACGATCACATTTCACTCAGGCAACTTTAGAGTCAAATTGTCTTCTAAAATATCCTCTTGCTGTACTTAGTGAAACGACAAAGGGTTTGGTTCAACTAATGGACATACTTCACCTAAACTTCTGTGCATCCAGATCATGCTAGCACAGTGCTAGACTCATATTTGGTGTCAAGACATAGCGGACGTGTTTGCTACACTCTTGTCACGTTTTCTGCATGTTTTTGAATAGCACCTGTCCTCAGAATTGTTCATAGCTTATCTCAGAGCTCTAAGTAAAACACCAGAGTCCTAGAAGCAGACTTCCTCTGCCAGACAGTTCCAGGAAGCATGACTCATTAGTCCAGGAAGTGTTCAAGGAGGAGCCAAATGATAAAAGTAAACTCAGGCCCATTGTGGTTGAGACACAAAATCTCAACTGCTTCTCTTCATTTCTCCAACTGACAGATGGGACTTTTAAAAACTTTGTTTTCAGATTCAGATTTAGAAACCCTGTGTCTTTTGCAGGAAAACTGGTAGGCAAAGAAAGAAACCCTACTTTCAACAAATGGGGCCAATCGTCGTTAAACTATGGTATGCACAAGTGGGAAGGCTATTTTGGAAACTATAGCTCTTTATTTACTGCAAAATGCTTTGGGGAGCAAACATAATTCGTAACAATTATGTCCCTATGAAATAGGGTAAATATTTATTAGCACTTATTCTGTGCTGAGTATATTCTAAGCTAACATTCCTAGCAGTTCTATAATGCAGGTGGTATTTTTATCTGTATTTTGGAGTTCTGAAAACAGATAAGTAGAATATTTTGAAAATATTTTTAAAGAGGTCAGTGACTCATGAGGAATTTTTCTTATTTATTTCATTGCTAATTATTTTTTGAAAATAAAAACTTAAATTCAAGGATACAAGTCCTTGAAGTCCTTATTTTGCTAGAGAATAACAATAAACAAGTTTTAAAAGTTACATCAATAATACTGAAAGCTTCTGTTAAGCCCTTGAATCAGCATTTTCTTCATTGCATTTTTTTAAGAAAACTCCTACTAAACACCTGGACAAAAATACTGGTTTTATAATCTATCGTTTGTGAGTAGTGTAAAATGCACTAAGGAAGCAGACTAAGAGTGCAGACAAAAAGGAGCGGAAAATGAAGTGTCTTGAGAAACGAACCATTAGTTACATCCCTACCTAAAGAATAGAATGCTCCATACCTGTGAATTCCTCTATTCCTAACTAAAATGCTCCTCTTGTCTCAAGATCAGGACAAACAATGACAATAACTTCATGTAAGTGTGTACTATGTTCTAGGCTTTGCTCTGCCTCTGCTCCTATGAACTCATAGACTCTGATTATTCCAATTTAAAGATGGAGAAAGCGTGGCAGGCAGCAGTAACTTGCCCAAGGTTACCCACCCAGTGAGTTGAGAGACTAGTTTTTAACCTAAGCTGACTCCAGAGTCTCCTTTCTGAAGCACTGGTCTATAACTGGCAGGTGTGGAGACAACTGAGTAAGACTCCATGCTACCATGGTGTCCGGGTTTCTGTAAGACTTTCTCTTGCCAGTGAGTACTAGACAAGTTACTATGACTTCATTGCTAGCCTCCTGCAGCAGTTAGAAGACTGAAGAGAGTTGGTTTAAGTTATTCTAATTCCAGGGATGACTCCCCTCATGAAAACCGAAAGCGCAGTCTCTGGAGCTGTTTCTTCCTCAGGGCCCCCTTCCCTGACCCATACATGAGCTTGGTCCCCTGTCTTGGGCTTTCCCTTCAGAGCACCCTTCAGCTTTCCCTCCTAGAACACAACACAGCTGGTCATTAGATTTATATTGTGTGATAAAACCATTAAGGATCTTTTTCTCCATGATGACAAGGAAAACTGATGATAAAACAGTTATAGTTCCACAGTCTAGGTGTCTAACACATACTCTTCTGACAAGAGTGAATGAATGAATGGACAAGGTATATTTAGGGAGTTGACAGCTTGAGGAAGTACCTCAGCAAACACAAAACAAAACAATAAACCTTGCTGATTGTCTTTAATTTGGCATTTCCCAAATTTATTGGACCATTTGTGAAACATCTGTCCACATCTGTGGCTGACAGCTGTGTGGGTCTCCTACACTGACCATGCCTTCCCCTGGGTCCATGCATTATTCTGTGGGACCAGCAACACCTGCACTGGACTCTGTCGTGGCTGAGACATCAACTCGTGTTGCGTCTCAGTATTTATGAGTTCTCTGCAACCATAGCTCATGTTACCTTAACTAATTACAATATCACATGGACCTGAAGGTTCAAGGTCCTGGTATGGAAAATGTTGCTCAGGTTGTAGACTTTGAGAACCTGTGAGTCAAACTTAAAGATTCAGGGACATTGAGTGAGATCTTTTGTCCATTCCTTCATTTGAAATGCATTAGTTTGCAACTGAAAGGACATGAGAGTGTAATTAGAATGACAAAAACATCTGGTGAACAGGATGACATCAGCAGGAGGATTTGGCAAGAGATGAATTGTATCTTACAAAGACTGGCGGGAAATGTGTTTTACAAAAGTCACTGACATAGTCAAGAGGACCTGGAACTGGCTTAGGTAGAAAGAGGGGAGAGATAGCAAAGTATAAAAGGATGTAACAGAAGATGATACAGGAAAAAGTGCCAAATGAGAAAAGGGTGGGTTGCTCAAAATCAGAATAAAAAAATTTTAAAGTACATGTGACATATTTTACATGATGAGGTAAAAACACTATTGATAGTATCACCAAAGTGTACAACTCAGCTATTAACAATGGAAGAGTAAGAACTATTTTCACAGAAACAATTAACAGTATACAAAGGTGTTCAAAAGATCCATGTTAAAAAATATTAACAGATTCCCAGGAGAGAAAGTGAGGATAAAATGGACCATCTCGTCAAGGTGGGTTATGGCCCATGGCCTCGAGTGCTTCTTAAGGGCTGGGAGGTCCACTCTGCGGGAATCCCCAGGGATTGTGATGGAGTCTGGGTGGCGTCTAAGGATATCCTTTCCTAAGGAGATCCCCAGGTGCCTCTGGAATGCAGCCAGATTTAGCAGGCAGCTGTAAGGACTACAGCCGCCTCCATCAGCTTCTGCCTCAGCAGAGATCGCAATCTTTGCACAAAGGGAATGTGGCAACACAGCGCTGTTGCAGCGAAAAGAGCTAAGAGGGGGAGGCGAGGGACACACCTTGTAGACATTCAGTCCTGAAAAGAGTGTAGTGCTTATTGAATTCTGCACAAGTTCTTCCCCCTCAGAAAGAGAACACAGTGAAGAGAAGTTCTACTCTGGTTGATTCTCATCAGCAAAGCTGTGGTTGGTTCAGGGGAGGGATCAGAACACCAGCAAAGAGTGATGGATTTGCTGTGGGCCCGGGGTGGGTGACAGTGCTGGGCATCCACTGAAAGTTTTGGTGACTCAGACTTCAAAACGAGTTGTGAGCTCATGGTTCAAAATCATTCTTAAAATGGCCAGCATTGGCTGGCGCCGCGGCTCACTAGGCTAATCCTCCGCCTAGCGGCGCCAGCACACCGGGTTCTAGTCCCAGTCGGGGCGCTGGATTCTGTCCCGGTTACCCCTCTTCCAGGCCAGCTCTCTGTGTGGCCAGGGAGTGCAGTGGAGGATGGCCCAGGTGCTTGGGCCCTGCACCCCATGGGAGACCAGGAAAAGCACCTGGCTCCTGGCTCCTGCCATCGGATCAGCACGGTGCGCCGGCCGCAGCGCGCCGGCCGTGGCGGCCATTGGAGGGTGAACCAACGGCAAAGGAAGACCTTTCTCTCTGTCTCTCTCTCTCACTGTCCACTCTGCCTGTCACAGAAAAAACAAAAAAGGGCCAGCATTGTGGCACAGTGGGATAAGCTGCAACTTGCGATACCAGCATCCCATATGAGCACTGATTTGAGTCCCAGCTGCTCCACTTCTGACTCAGCTCCCTGCTAATGCACCCAAGAAGGCAGCAGATGATGGCTCAAGGGCTTGGGCCTCCACCACCAATGTGAGACATGGATGGAGTTCCAGGGTCCTGGCTTCAGCCTGGCCCAGCCCCGGCTGTTGTAGCCATTTGGGTAGTGAACCAATGGATGGAAGATCTCTCTCTCTCTCTCCCTCTCTGTCACTTTGCCTTTTGGATAAGTAAATCTTAAAATTCTTTAAAAGAAAAAGGAAAGTAATAGAAAAAGGAAGGGAAAGAAAATTAAAGATGAATGACAAATTCTAAAGGATTCTGAACACAAAATCAGTAAAAACTTGGGAGGAATAATAAAGCAAGAAATATCTGAAAAAAAATCTAGGAAGAAATCCATGAGGCTATAGAGAAATTTTCTGACAATTCTGTAAGTTCACATACAAATAGTTAAACTTGGGGAAACAGAAAAAGAGAAAAAATGTCCATTTTTTAAAGTTATGATTAGGGCAAAAAATGATGGGAATGTGGATTTGATTGATGCTTTCAGAAGAGAGTATAACATGATGAAGATGAGGTAGAAACATGTCTACTTTGATTTTGAAGCTGGAAGAAGAGACATGGAATTCTAGAAGCTAGGATAGTCAATATCTTTTTTTTTTCCCCAGCAAAGTGAAAGTAAGTTTACTGCAAGAAGCAGACAAAGCTACCAGAAGCCAGGAGTGGTGCCAAAAGGGTTGCTGATCAACATCTTTGAATAGATTTTTTTAAAGTAAATGACATTGTGCAGAAAAAATTTCATTATTGCGATGAACCTGTGGGTGTTTAAGAAACATTTTAGCGTGCA